CCCTCGTCCCTCGTCCTCGCCCTCCTCCTCCTCTCCTCTCCTCTCCTCTCCTCTCCTCTCCTCTCCTCTCCTCTCCTCTCTCACCTCCTTCCAGACAGCTTCTGCACGATCATCCCACTTATCTTTGAGGATCTTGAATGCATTATCAGTACCTTGACAATCCTCCAACCATCCTCCTCCACCTCCTCCCTTCATCAACCTCCTCCTCCACCTCCTCCCTTCATCAACCTCCTCCTCGACCTCCTCCCTTCATCAACCTCCTCCTCCACCTCCTCACAACTCCACTCTCTCCCCTGACTCTTCCATCTTTCCCCTCCCTCCTCCCTCCTCCTCGTCTCTCCTTCCCTCTTCTCTCCCGTCCTCTACCTCTTCCAGCGTCAGCAGGAGCGCAGTCCCAAACGGCGCCAGGTACTCTGGGCGGACGCCATAGCGAATATGACGGATCGTCAACTCGAAGAGCTGCTCGAAGAAGGTCTGCAACATCAACAACGTCAACTCGGTCTGAGTCAGAAACTCTCCTCACCTCCGGCTCCGCCAGACTCAACAGGAGCATCTCCATGATATGCTGCAGCAGCTTCCCCCACCTGGCAGGCAGCAGTCAAGTCAGCCCTTGCAGCTTGCGAGCTTTCATGTTGCAGTTCGCACATGGTGAACGAGCGGCGGAAGAGATGGGTCTGTTCGGGCGACTGGTACCATCCAGTGTCAGTTGGGGGATGGAGGCAGAAGAGCGCAAGCAGCAGCAGCAGCAGCAGGGACAAAGTGCGGGGAGGATGGAGAAAGGCGAGGAGGAGAGTGGGGGTAGGAGAACAGGGAGTGAAAGGACAGTGGCAGGACAGCGGCCGAAGACGAGGAGAAGGGAGCGAAGGAACTGCTGCCCTACCTCATCGTTGAGATGCTTCCAAAAGATAGAGCCCAAGTCCTTGCAAACAAGATGAGGAGAAGACAGAAAGAGCAAGCGCGAGGTACCTCAATATCAGTGTTCACCCTGACTTCCTGCCAGTGCTCTAGGATCAGTTCTCCCCTGCTAGTCTTCAGTCCGTTCAGCTCGTTGGTGAGACTCTGCGGGGAGGGGAAAAGAAGTCAAACTCTGAGTGACTGGCACGTCAAGTCAGTTCTCAGGTCTCCCATCACCTCGACGAGGGTCTGCCATAGCCAGCGAATCGAGTCGCTCATGTGCTCCCCCCAGCTTTCAACGGGCAGCGTCAGGTTTGACAAGCGGCGGCCAAACAGCACTCACTTCTCTTCCCCCACAGTGTTCTTCAGTGCAACCTCGAACGAGTAGCCCAGTCCCTTCAGGTTCTCGCTCCTGATTCCCCTGAGGACGTGGACAAGTCAAACTCAACGACGGTAACAGCAAGTCCGGGTCTCCTCTCACCTCTTGTAGAAGCGAGGCGCGTAGATGTACACCTTCTCCACCTGCTTCTCCGGCTCCCAGACCAGCTCACACGCCTCGGCGACAAAGTCGTACACGTCTCGTATCAGCAACTACCCAGAGAGAATGTCAGTGATAGAGCCATCATGGCGATTGTTCACCTCGACTTCTTCTGACCCCGGCTCCTTGGATTGCATGCTGATCTTTGAGTTGGTCCGCTTCTGCCTCATGGTGTGCGCTGATGAACAGTGAGCAAGTGAAGACAACAACGCATGTCTCAACCTTGACTGATCGTATGACCTGGCGCACTGCTGCTGTGCGAGAAACTATCATCATCATGCTTGAAGTTGCCCCCCTTGAATGCGCTCATCCTGATGAGATGAGACACCTGGACAGGAGAAAAGCGTCAATGATACAACAATCAGCAGTAGGGAGAGCAGGAAGATGAGGAGCAGGAGCAGGAGAAGGAAAAGGAGCAGGAGCAGGAGCAGGAGCAGGAGCAGGAGCAGGAGCAGGAGCAGGAGCAGGAGCAGGAAGAGAAGGAGGATGAGGATGAGGAGGGGAAGGAGGAGGAGGAGGAGGATGAGCAGGAAGAGGAGCAACACAAACAACGCCAAGGCTATATGACACTGCAGGACGCGCAAGGCAAAGACGTCACCCCATTCTGGCTGACAGCAGACGTCGAGGGAGAGATCCCCGAAGCTTGGTCGGAGCCGATGCTGTTTACAACCTTGGAGATAGTCCTGGAGAAGCTGGAGGCCGATTCCGACCTCAGCTCCTCGTGCATGTTCTCAAAGATGGAAGGGCAGGTGATCGCTAGCTCTGCCTGGAAGTTCTTCGAGAAGACTTCTATGTCGACATGCTCCCTTAGGTACAGCACTATGTGCTCCAACGACGTCCCGTAGTCCTCGCCGTTCTGAATTGCCTCCGCCATGTTCTCGCAGACCATTTTGATCACGATTCCCCATGACTTCTCGACCTCCGGCGTCCACATCGCCCCCGCCGCCTCGGAGAGGACGTTCATGAAGACTGGACCGATCAGCGGGATGTGGTGAGGGCGGACGTTGTAGAGCACATGGCGAACTCCGAGCCAGGTGACCTGCTGCTTCATACTCTCAGGATCATCGGCGAACGACACTAGAGTCCCCAGAGTGTTTCCCATCTTGATCGCCATGACCTCTCTGGGCTTCGTGAACAAGCTTGCAACGTTGGGGGCGAGCTTGAAGAGTTGGTCGTAGATGAGTTCACCGAGGTCAGCCGGCGTGTACTGCTCGAGGATACTTTCCCAGCAGTCCCTCACCACACTGAGAGTGGATCCGACCTCCTTCAAGGACTGGTCCAGAGCCTTGGTCAGGAAGGCCCACATCCAGAGCCAGGCCTTCTTCTCCTCCTCCAGCATGTCATCGCCCAGAGTGCTGTCAAACACTCGCATCACGATCTCCTGCATCAAGGGCATCTGCGATCCCCTCACTCCCTTGCGGTGGTGCAACGGTGCAAGGTCGGCAATCTTGACGTAGATCTCTGCCGGCGAGTGGATGTTGTCAACGATGCTTGAAAGCATGTCGACGAACTTGGTCCCTTGCACGACCCTGTTTGTGAACCGAAACAACGGCTCTAACTCGTCAACGTCCCGTACAGACTCGTAGATGGAGAGGCCTAGATCAGCATAGGACACCTTCCGCAGCAGCTTCCTCCAAGAAGATACGATAAAGTTCGAATGGAACTTCCATTCCTGCAAGTCCACCTTAGGGGCCTTGTTCTTCTTCACATGAACATGCTTCCGTCGCACGCGACTTGCTCGGAACACTCCTCCAGCCTGACGCAAGTTCGTCCCCTGCAGCGTCGACTTGGATCCAAAGTGGCTGCTCTGTCCTTGGAAGGACGTGGAAGCGTTCCGGGATGACACGGTCACGTCATCCCTCGACCTCATCGATCTTGGAGACTCAACAGCATCTGCAGGCTGCGCTCCTGCGTAGTTCAAGAAAGAGGAAGAATTCAAAATCTTTCCCTTGGAAGAGCTAAAGGATCCAGACTTCCTCTGGAAAGAGTTGAGCGAATCGTTCGACCCTTGACTGACAAGCTTCGGCACAGGAGCACTTTCTGCCTCCGTGTTCATCATCGTCAAGGCAAGGAAAGGGCAGTTCCCCGCGTTCCCTTGCGCACCAGAGACCTTGGCTTGACCACTGAAGGGACATTGCTTGTGCTCCAAACTCTTTCTAGGAAAGAGGTCTTGAGCGATATTGCCGTTGGATCGAACCTCGCAGGTTCCCTGTTGTTCTGGGACAGCCTCGAGCTTCTGGCCATTTGAATGCTCAGATCCAGCTGCCTCCTCCTCGGCACAATCGTCCTGGCTCGGGTAAAAGGCGTCGAGTTTCGAGGAGTTCTGCATCGGAGTGACACTAACGGTCTCGTCCTCCTCGGGGATTTCTTGCAGGACGCCCCTCTGCGCAAAGGACAAGTCAAGGTGTGGCCGAGCAACCATGTCGGAGCTCTCCTCATCACCAACTGTCATGGTCGCACGAATGTCTGCGAGGTCAATGGTGTTAAACATCGCAGATTTCTCGATCCCTTTCTCCTTCTCCCTCTGGTTGGCACTTCCGAATGTCAGGTGCGATGCCACAGTCACTTGTGCAGTATCCGAAGTTTGCACAGCATGAGCCAACCTTCCATTGCTAGCAGCAATCGCCTTCCCGTCATCAGGCTCCACATAGTCTCCAATGTACATACCAGGAAGCAATGAGTGCGCGGCATGGGTGTGGATTCTCATGAATTTGTCAGTCGCGTCCTTTCCAGAGTTGCTCTTCATGATGTGCTCTCCTCCTGGATGATGTGTGATGTAATTGGTCACATCAAAGACCATGTTCTGAACAATGATGAGGATCTTTCCGGTGTCTTGAAGCTTGACAACATCGGTGCGGGACAGTTCGGGTTGTTTCAATTTCTTTCTCCGTTCTTCAATGGCCTTGAGGGCAGCCGCATCAAGCTCTTTGCCCTTCATTTCTTCTGTTTGTCTTCACTCTAACTGTCTTCAGATCGACTGCATATGAAGACGTATTGCAAAATATCGTTCCTGTTTTGCAAGGTCAACAGAATGCAACAAGCATCAAAACGAAGGGGCAAATAAAAAGAATGCAATTCAGGATATCTTTCATACTGAGTACTCTTGAACGTTTCATGAGGCTGTTATGGACAGAATGCATGCACATGCAGCTCAGTTCACAATAAATTGTCTACAGGTCTCTCGGGCACATATCAGACATTTTCAGGGATCAGGGATCAAGAACGCAGCGAGACATTTTGAGCTAGACAAGTATCCCTGATCGCACGCAAACATGCAGAACAGTGAAGGATAAATGTATTTGTGCCATTGTGGAGGAGGGTCTAGAGAGCATGCCCTCATAGACGGTTCACAGGAATGCAGGGAAACACATTCGTTCTCCAAACTCACAGGGGCAGTGCCTGGACCCATCACATTCTGCATGTCAGACTACTGGGAGGGGACCATTCAGGGATCTTTCATAAATTTGGGGAAGGGCGAGGGGATAGATGGAAGCAGGAGTCAGGACAGCATCATTCCACCCATGCGTCTCCTCTCCTGTCCTCTCTTGCTCGCAGCATTTTTTGGGTCCTCCCTTGACCCCACCCTACCTATAGCACCACCCCCGTTGTTCCTTACAAAACCACCCATACACTGTAACCATTTTATGGAGGTTGGGTTCCCGACCACCCCCTTGTAAAGCTCAAGAACTAGTACCCCCACCCCCTCATTTGATACACTTTGGTCGAACAATCTGCCCGGTTATAACGTACTACCCGTACTATACAGGTATTTATCAGGGGTACTTGACATCCTACTACCCGTTCACATTGGAACCCTTCCACCCACCCCCGGAAATTCCTTCTCCCAAAATCCTTTCCAATCTCTTTTTTCCTCCGATGATCTATTAACCCTGTAGCGCATTTTGTACTACCCCTCCTGTTTCTGTTAAGATTGGGTACCCCCCTAGCATGATTGTAGGGCTATTTTTTTGGATCAGACCCCTTCAATTTCATACCCTACCCACCCTTGTAGACTACACGAATAGTACCCCTTCATTTCTCTATCAAAACATGGGTCCTTCGATGCACAGTCCCCAACCCCACCATTCCCCTCTGGCCTCCACAACCCAATTGTTTGACTACCCCCACCCCCATATTTCATAGGAATGTTGAAAGGGTGAGGTCATCCGAAACGTGAAAAAATGCCTTTTGGTGTTTCAGATGCTAAAAGCAAAAACTAGGTAAGGGAAATGTGAATGTAACGGTCCATACATGAAAAATAACGAACCTGCGTGGAACAACGGAGAAAGAAACGGATTGAAACGACTGTGTAACGGTTATGGGAACGGTGGTATTCGTGACTTCACGTGCGGGTATGGCGTGGTCGGGGGAGGAGGAGGAGGAGCAGGGGCCGCTAACGCGGGAGGAGGAAAGGAGGAGGAAGGTCCAAGAGAGCAAGAACACTAAGAAGAAGAAGAAGACAACGAGAGAGAACAGGCACAGGTACCTTGGCTTCAATGAGCGTCTAGAAGCGGTACAAGTAGACGTTCTGAGGAGGACTGGGCGAGATGAGGGGAGGTCGACGGCGAGCTTGCTGGACGAGGAGCTGAGGGAGGAAAACGGGAGCCACTTCGAACAACAGATCGGGAAGTGGGGAGAGCTGAACCTCACAGACGACTTCACTGTCTTCCTGAACCAGGTGACGCCGCTGGTCGGTTCCCTCCCCCTCCTGCTGCACAACAAGAATGGTGTGGTGGAAGCGATCGTCCGCCATCTCTCGAAGGAGGAGAGCAAGGCCATCAAACCTCTCTGTGCATGTCTCTCTGCCTTGGCACGGGATCTTCGCCATGAGATGTATCCCTTCTTCAAGCAATCAGTCGTCCCCTGCCTTGTTGGCCTGCTGCAGACTACGGACGCGGAACAGCTGGAAGACGTTTTCTCGTGCTTTGCCTATCTCTTCAAGTTCTTGTTGAGATACGTCGTTGATGACTTTTTCGACCTGTTCGACTCTCTCTTCCCCGTGCTCAGCAACCGCTTCTGGTACATCAGGAGGTGAGTTGTGCTGGTGCCGAGTCTTGCGAAGTTGGATAACGCGGGAGATTGTGCGTAGGTTCTCCTCGGAAGTGATATCCTTCTTGCTGCGAAAGATGCCCACTGATAGACTAGAGATGAACTTGACTCACATGTTCCAGAGAGCAAGTACGTTTGTAGCAGACTTCGCTTCTAACAGCACGCGGTCCAACAAACTCAACTCAGAGCAGGTACAGTCACAAGAGAAACCTTGACAGACTCTCTGAACTATCTTCCATTCATTGTTTATCATATCTTCTATCCCTCCCTCCCTCCCTCCCTCCCTCCCTCCCTCCCTCCCTCCCTCAAGCTTCCTCCTCGATTTTCTGACTTGGTTCTTGTCCATCTGATTTCAGGTATCTGAGCTCATCATTGACAAGTACTTTGCGCGCGTCTGTGAGCACTGCAGGCTGGAGCAGTCGGAGCCTCTTTGGACTGTGCTGAAGGAGCTTGTGGAGGAGGGAGCAGAAACAGGAGCAGGAGGCAGCTCTTTGCTGCTCCAGCACGCTCTAAGGTACTCAGCCATCGCCGTCGCTCATCGAGGAGGAGCTCGACTCGCTCATCCTCGGCTCATGTTCTCCTCTCTCCTCCTGTCGCTCCGCCTGCCCTCCGTCCTCGATGGCTCCGACCCGGCGCTGACAGAGAGTGTTCTCCTCCTCGCCTCCTCCCTCCTCTGCCATGCAGCGGAGGAGGACGTGGAGGAGCACGCGGAAGGATGGTCGAAGATCTTCGAGCTGCCTGACAAGGAGAAGCTTCTGGCTCTCTGCTCGCGCGTCTGCTCCAGCAGCCCCTGCCCTCCTCTGCTCTCCTCCCTGCAGAGGTTCTGCAACAGGCTAGCGAGCGAGGATGTGCGCATGGCAATGCTGGCGCATGAAATCGCAGCCAGCAGCGTCGCTTCTCCCTCCTCCTTTCGAGCTGGGGACGAGCTGTACAGCCGCTGTCTGAAGGAGCTCGAGACGTTCGCTGCAGGGAAGGAGGAGAGGAAGAGCTCAGCGGTGTGGGAGTGGCTTGCTGTACGATGTGTCAAGCACGTTTCGACCGCAGAGATGAGGAGGAGGAGCGTGCAGACGCTGAAAAGGTGGCGGACAGGCTTGGTAGGACAAGGCAACCTGTAAGGAAGGGCAAGGGGAAGGAGGAGGAAGAGGAGGAAGAGGAGGAGGGATACACGGAGAAAGTTGTAAGAGCTCTCCTCTCCTCGTCGCAGCATGTCGACGACGATGCTCTCCTCCTCGTCGAGGTTCTCAGTACCGTCTCCTCCCTCCATGGCAGCTGCGGCTCAGCCAGCGCAACCAGCAAGGACGGGAAGAAGAAGAAGGCGAGGATCTCCTCACATGGGAGCAAGGAGGAGGAGCGAGAGGAGGAGTCAAGGGAGATGGAGGAGCTGATTGACAGCATCGTCCTCCTCCTGTTTCAGCTTCATCCTCACAAATCAGTCGTTGTTCAGCAGCTCCTTGAGTACTGTCAGTGGAGCACGACGAGGTCGAGGCGTTCTGTCCTTCTCCTCGACCAGTGCCTTCCAACGCTCTCCTTCAATCTCATGTCGTCTGACGGCAGGTAGTCTCCTCCTCTTCCTTCCCCCTCCCTCCCCTCTTCCCTCTCCTCCTCCTCCTCCTCCTCCTCCTCCCCTCCTCTCCCCCCTGATCTTCCTCCTTGATCTCTTGATCTCTCGCTACTCCTCCTCTCCTCCTCTTCCTGTTTGTCGTTGTTCTCCTCCCCTCCTCCTTGTACTACTTCTCCTGCTCCCCTGCCATATCATCGCTCCTCCTCCTAGTGTCTTCTGCTCCCAACCGCGCTTGTTCTGACTCCTCTCCTACCACAGCTTGCGTCTTTCCACCATCCGCCTCCTCGAATCTCTCCTCTCCTCCTCCTCTGCCGAGCTGGACCACTCAGTCGATCCCTTCACTGTCAACCCCGACCGGGCACTCCTGGACCTCATGAGGAGGGTTGAGGAGGCGCCGATGGACGCGGCGAGCGGGAGGATCAGGGTACTGAAGCTGCAGCAACTTAGCTCGGCCATCGAGTACAACAAGATCTCCAGCAAGTTCTTTCCTCTCGTCTTTCCCTTCCTCATCGGCCAGTTCAAGTGCAGGTTCACCCTCCCTTGGCCGAGCGTCAGGTATGAAACCCATCCTTGCTCTTCCTCTCTCCCAGATCATGCTCTTCCTGCCTCCCCTCCTCTCTCCCTCTCTCCTGCTCATCGTCTCTCCTTCTTCTTCGCCTCCTCCTCTTGCCCTTTCCACCCCTCCTCGCCCCCCCCCTTCATCCTCCTCTCCCTCGTAACCTTTCGTTTCTTTCCTCTCTCCCCTCCCCTCCTCTCTTCCTCCCTCCTCCACACTCTCCCCTTACTTCTCGAGCAGGGACTGCATGGCCAAGTACGCGAGGGTCAGGACTGACGACTTCTGGCGCAAGCTTCTCGTCCACCTCTCTCTTGCAGCGCAGGAGCCGACATGCTCGAGCCTGGAGGCCGCAGACCTCATTCTTCCTCCCTCTGAGCAGCAGCAGCAGGAGCGCGCGAGGGAGAGGGAGGAAGAGCGGAGGAAGGACAAGAAGAAGGAGAGGCCGAGCCCGGAGGTCGCCCTTGTAGCTCTGCCGCTGCTGGGGGAGGAGGACAGGGCCGAGAACTTGATGAACGGGAGGAGGAGGAGCCACAGGTTTTCTGGTACTCCAGCAGTCGAGCTGATAGTCCAGCTGCTGCAGTCAGCCAGCGTAGAGCAAAAGCTGTTTGACAGGAGGGCAGAGGGACTAGTCAAACAGTTCCTTCGCTTCCTCTGCTTCCAGTATGACCCGCTCTTTGCGGAGGACCAGGAGGCCCTGGAAGAGGAAGACAAGAAGAAGCTGCTGGAGACGGGGAAGGCGGAGGGGCGAGCGGGCAAGGGCATGCAGAAGACGAAGAAGAAGGCTAAGGGGATGAAGCAGCAAGAGAAGGAGCAGGAGCAGGAGACAAAGGAGGAGGAGGAGGAGGAAGGGGCAGGTACCCTCCTACGGTACGGGAGGATGGATGCAAATCGTATCTTAGTGGCGTACTTGGAGATTCTCTCTTCCCAGCAGGGGGCCACCAGGTTCGAGCTGGGAAAGACCCTCCACCGCATCTTCTACAACCTCCTGCCGAAGGCGCATAACCGAATCCAGCAGCTCGCACTAGCTGGGCTGCTGCTGGGGGGGTCCGGTAGTCTGGTGCCTTACAGGGCTCAGCTGGAAAATTTGATCGACGACGAGAAATATCGTGATGAGCTCGTGTCGTTCCAGGTCTCCTCT